TTCGCCTCGTTTTTACAGTTCTAGCGTTCTTTATATAGCTCAATTCCTATGCGATTATTGTTTTTGGCATTATTCCAATTCTGTTTTTCTGCATTTCTGACTTGCTGTTTGGTGCATTATGCTACATTCCTTCGCGCGCGCGCGGCGCCTCTCTCGCCGAAACGCGACAGTTCCGATCCTACTGCACCACACCCCCAATCAGGCTGTGTCGTTTGGTCAAACAGGGGCTTGCACAGCTGGCGCTGGACTGCACACTGCACACCGCCCATTCGCGCAGCACAGTGAGCCGTTCTTCCCTCTTGCCATGTAACAGCGCCGTTCATGAAGTCGTTAGCTTCATGAAGTCGCCTCCTGACCTAATGACACACGTTCTTTGCTGATATTTTTGATGAGGGGTGATTCCATACTTCCGCGCGTCATCTTTTCCCATCGTCACGATAGACGTCCTCCTTTGTGAATGTTAGCAGCTCCTACAAAGCCAATCAACTTAGTCCTTCTCCTTGTTTCGACGTATGGAGCGATTTATCTCTTTTCTTCTTTCTTCTCTTCTTCCGAAGATTCTCAGAAACCATTTTTATCGCGATTTGCGCCCGTCTTCAAGTACTCTGTAATTAATCGACATTTACAATTAAATGATCGCATTATGGAGGCGATATAATTACATCCCCGAAGAAACCTGTTCATACGAAAATCCATTCCAGATAAGTATGTCGCATAACCAGCACTTATGGCTTACATTACCTAGCAATTACATATAATTTACAATAGAACGGACAATTACGGAACTTCTTGTCGCCGCGCTAATGTCATAGTTTCAGATTCGCTTCATGACTGTTGAACAAGTACCCAATGGAACGTGTTTAACAGCTTTCTATTTTGCGTTTAATTATTTTGTTTTGATTTCTTATATACTTATTTCATTACTGTTGTGTATTGCTATTATTCTTCTGTTTCATGCTCGGCGAAGTTTCCATCCGATTTTCAAGTGAGTTGAACAGTTAAAAACAAAACTTTTGATACCTGAAAATGCGTATCAGAGAGCCCATCAGCTAGCTTCCTTCAAAGCCTGACAAAGATCGGAATCGAGACTGATTCAATTAATTGTTTTGCTGCTCCTGAATTACGATTTCACGCCGCGATTACGGCTTTCTTCAATCCCGAGCACTAGTCAAATTGTGCCATCGAGGTCGCCACGTAAAACTAGATCACCGCACCGCGACGATTCCGGCTAGCAGTGTCAGGCCCTTCTTTCTCCCACATTCTCAGAAGCGAAGCCTGTGGATGGGAAGAGTCCTTCAACGAATGGACTAGATCGCCATTAGCTCGGTGGGCTAGTTTTCAGTTTCGGAGCGATCACCTCGACCACTTACTGCAAGTAAACTATGGGAAGACAAAAATGTGGTCTCTAAACTGTGTTCGGGAAATATCTACACGTTTTGTCTCCCCCATGACCTTATTGGAGTTTGGAGATTAACAGAGTTTAGAGTCGAGCGTTGAGCGCGCTTTCTGTTGACAAGCCAGTCGTCGATCGATACCCCACGGCGGTGAATAATTCCCTGATCAGGTTTTTATGCTGTGTTACTCACTTTTTCTTTTTTTCTTGAATATGGATTTGATATTTTCTTCTTCGATCACTATTATGTAATAAGTCAAAAATATGTCATTATGAAAAAGCTCTATTAAGGAGCTCCGTCTGAAAAATATCGTGCTCTAACGCAAAGACCGTCAGCGGCTGCGCCGACGCTAACGCCGCTCAACGCTCATCGCGTACTCTGAAAGTTTGTGAGAAGCTGCAAACTTCGCAGCCTAACGGGGATGCCCTCGATGAACGCGATGAATTCGCCCACTCAGATTAACACAGAGATAGTGGATCTGATAAATCGGATTGTTTACCAATTTTAAAAGTATTCAGTGCACTCCTGACATTGTTGCTGTTTGCTTATGTACTGTGCGACTTTTTGTATGTTTCTTCATTATTTCTGGATATTTACAATATTTTTTCTTATTTCGAAAAATATCTCGATGCAGTCTATCAAGGAACCTACACATACATCGCATGCATAGGTACGTAGCATCAGTTACTAATTGAATTTCATTTCACTATTACATCACAGGTATGTGTACCTAAAGGTTCAAGTAAAAATCATAATTTAATAAATTAACAGTTATGAAAAATGTCTGAATGTCATTCACACAGCTCTGACATTAAAGCAATGCCATGGGGACTCAGATGCAAAGTGAAACAAACTATCGTCACTATGACAATCATCCGCACCCAAAGCAATGAAACTCACTCAGATGAGAGAAGTACAGGCCGAAAGGCTACCTTCATTTCCTCATTTCAATGCCATTCGACTGAAAAAAAGGACAAGTTGCTTTTGTGAATCGAGTTTAAAGACAAAATTTGCGACCACGTTGGGGTAACTAGATTGAGAAGAATAATGCAAGCAAGATCGAAACTAGTGCAATGAAGGGAAGAAACGACACAACGGCATGGGACACAAAAAAAAAAAACAAAATTGGCGTATTTAGAGAAATAAAAGGCTTTGAAATGCTGGATAGAATAGGGATTTTACGAGAACGTCAGGACGAAAATTGCGTGTAAAGAGTGTATGGACGAGTTCCTCAAAAGTGTGTCATTGAGTACATCTGGCTACATTAAAAAAAGATGCTTTCACTGTCGTCAAGCATCGGGACGGCCTGTCACAAATATATACCGCTTTTCTCATCTGCTGCAATGTAGGATTCTATGCACTCAACGGATCAAAGTGTGTTGATTTCCTTCAGGAATTTTATTTTGTTTTTATCCTTTCACTTCTGTCCTATATTTTAGTGCAGTATACATTTGCACATATGATTTTTGTTCTTCTTGTTGTATACAATAGTATGCGGTTCTCAGTTTTTAGACCATTCTTTATTGCGGTGTCGTTGAAGACTTCTCGTAGATGTCAAGACTACTCTCTGTTTCCAAGTTAATTTTTTTAAATGTTCATTTTATGTGTCTCGTTGCCCTTTTCCTGGAGTAACCTGAAGTGGGTTTCGCTGAAAATTCTTCAATTGTTCTGCTTAACGTGAAGAACACTCACTGGCCATGAAGTGAAAAATTATATTTCCAAAAAACCCTAATTTCACGTGCCCGATGCTCATGAGGGAATCTCTGCGAGTGAGTTATCTCGAAAATTTCACTTGTTTGAGTGATGATTCGCCTACTCGCTACCTTGGAAATCATTTCTGCCATGGCGCAGCCTCAAGAATATTCCTGCCGAGTACAGAGAATTTATCCCCAGAGAAGCTAGGGACTTCCTCAACGGCCTTACCCATTCCGACAAGGCTGATCTCAAGGAAACTGCCAAAGACTATGCCACGTACAAGAATGAAGACGAGGCCCTGGCTGCCCTGAAGGAGAAATCATCCGAACTTGGAGCTAAAGCCGAAAAACGGGCGCAATTCGGTCGCAATTCCCATCGCTTGAAGGCGCACTGAGGCATTCACAAGGCGGAGTCGCAGGGTTGCCTGGTTTTCCTTCTTGATCTACTGTATCTATAATACTGTTTATACTAGAAGATATATAATGGTAATAAGCTGAGCTTTAACTGCATTCCTCATGACTTAGCTCATTCCCATCTTTTCCTAAACGAGGAATGAAAACTGCAAGACTGTGTGGAAAACGCGATATTTTTATTCTTCCTGGCACATTTCATTACAATGTCGGTGACACGTTCCTGTTGGTTGTTGTTGTTTGGCTGTTTGTCGACTTTGTTTTGGCTAACTTGATTGGCTGCTTTCATAGTCCGCCGGCCGGCCGGCGTGCCGGCGAGCGTGCCGGCGGAGGCAGTGCTAGGGGGGAGGAGGGAGGCAGACAGATAGGCAAACAGTCCACGCCCCTTCGAGGGGTTGAAAACAAACAACCTTCGAAGGAGCGTGTTTGCCTTACACTGTCTGCCT